CCCCAAAACCCCAAAACCCCAAAACCCCAAAACCCCACACTGACCAAATCAACTTGAAACAATTATAAATATTTCTCCTCAAAGTTCAACATGTATTTCGTCATTCTGCCTTTGCTCTCAGAGGAAGGATTTTGGTTGTGGAACATCATCGATACAGATTTGCTTGTACTTATCCTAGAAGTGAGTGAGATAGGCGATTCTACCAAGCAGAAAAAGACTTACAATGGTCTAGGTATGCTTTGGGTCTTCTTGTCTTTCAGATTTCTCAGAAAGTGTTTTTGTTGGGTCAATTCGTTCTCTGAATCACCCTAAAATTAAAATTATTTTTACAGTCATGCTAATTCTTATTAAAATCATTTAGCATAATGATAAATTTTGAGTAAATATTTAAGGACTTTGGATGGTACTTAAGCTATAAATTGACAAATTAGCTTATCAACTTGTTTGCCCTTAAAAGTCATTCTCTGCATGCTAAAGGAAAAGAAATTTTCAAAGCCAAAGGTTGAGAAGACTAAAAGTGTGGGATGATCTATTTGGCTTGAATAATCCAGAAAATATCACTCCGAGATGTTAATCTCAGAATCATAGCAGGAGTGAAACCTTAGGTTCAGAAAGATTCTTTGTTAAATGAACTAGGGGCTTTTAAATGTAAAAATACTCTAAAGATATGTCCAAATACATTTTTAGGAAGGAATGATAGCTGTATTAAACCAGGTTTGCTTCCTATTCCTATTGTATATTATTTTTTTAATAGCAATGATTTTAGGGGTTATAAATGATCCCCACAAAAATATCAAGTAATTTTAATCCATTGTTCGTATCACTAAAGACTTGTTTTAAGCAAACATTACTGGGTCAGGGAGGATAAATAATCCAGGTAACATCCCAAGTTATTATTCAAGAAATATCCACATCTTAGTTTTATAGTACCATGAGGATATGATTCATAGTGGCTACCAAAGATAATTTTTTGATAATCCGAAACTTCGAAGTCTTAACAATTTTCTTTTTATAGTCTAATAACTGTATAATAGGTTCTTTGGGAAAACAGCCCAAGAACTTGACATGGACTGTGAACGAGCTGCCAAAACTCCCATCTTTATTGAGAATTCTCACCTTAAATCTGACTATTTATAGCTGGGTTCTTGTAAGCTTGATCGTATGAATGCTTATTAGTGATGCTAGTTGATTTCTTTAAATCAATATTCAACAAATTTGGAGGATCATCAACTAACTGGTGGATTGAGTCATCTATTCTCTCAAATTTTAATTCTTCTTTATCTTCAAGATCATCATCTTTAACACTCTCTCTTTTAGAAAATGGTTTACCTATATCCAATAAGGAGGATCCAATAAGCTTTAATAAGAGCTTTTGCTTGTTAAGAGAACTATCACTAGATTGAAACAAAGAGATGTTAAGGAAAGATTAATTAAGTGCATCGACCAACAAAAAGTTGGCTTGAATCAAATCTTTAAGACCCTTACTACCTTCACTTAGAATATTTGATCTTCTATTTTGCTGAGCTGGGCGAGAACGAGGCTTGTGTTTTTGAAGTTCAACATAATTGACATCTCTGCTCAATAAGTACTTGACTTGAATCTCAAGCTTCTTTATTCTGAAGAGAATTTTCAAACAGTCTTTCTCTTCATAGAGAGTCTCGACAATTTTACCAGCATTTGGATATTTAGACTTTACTATAAATGAGAGGTGTTTTCTTGGGCATTATTTAAGATTTCCTGCTCCTGCTCCTGCTCGCCTCCTTCTTCTAAGAATATATTCTCGTGGTTAAGCCGATCCATAGCTTGTTTGAGAGGCGAAAGAAATTCTTCCTTATTAAATTTTTTAGTCGATTGTGACTCTGTATAATGTTTAAAATCGTCTTTTTTATTTACAAATTTCTCCTCTTCAGGTATCATCTCAAGTTTGCCTTTCTTGTTAGATTCCCGTGCTTCTCTATTATTTTTCAATAATTCAGTATTCTCAAAACAAAAAGATTTGAGCTTTTCCAACTCCTCTTGTGTCTGATCAAGCTTTTCGTTGTATTTCTTGATCTCATTTGCCAAAAATCTTTTGAAGTAGAATTTATAGAGAACTCCAATCATGAGAGCAAAGAATACTTCAAATATCTCGAAGATACCTCCTAGAGTACCCACAAGTTCCATTATTGTGAAAGACTTCCTGCGGTAGGTGTGAACCTTATGTCCGATACTAATCCATCTATAAAAGAGTTAAATTTTGACATTGAAAATCATTGGATCAATTTTATTAAAAAGCTTGAATCTGGATTCAAAGAAGAGCATTACGCTCAAGTCTACCGGCCAGAGAAATTAAAACTCAAGTTGTTAACCTAAAAATTACGAAAATGGGAAAGTAGAAGGCTTGTAGAATGGTAAATATTCATATATTTTTGAGAACAGAACCAGTAATTCTTATTGGGAGCGACCCAACTCAAACCGCTAGGCCAGCTCGAACATTGACTTATGTAAGTACAAAGATTGATGCACTGGGAATTATAATAGAAGTATTGATAATTTGTCATTCTACATAATTGTGAACGCTAATAACTCTCTTTATGCTGCTCATGTAATTTTTACTGAAAAATTGGTTCAGACTGAAAGAATGTAGATTTTTATGAAATATTAAATTTTAATGATACATACCCTGAGTACATGCGATTTGATTGACTTTTATAGGCTGAATGATGCAGCAATCTGAAATGAGAGTCCTCTCTGGAACTAACTTTGTTAAATTGGATAGGTTCAGGCTCCACCAGAGTTGGAAATAGGGAATCTTCAAGATATACCTTCTGCCTTTCAATAAAATGTGTTGATTCGAATTCTATATTATGGTTTATATCATTACATTTGATTGATAAGGTATGCACTATTTGTCAAAATAATTGGAATTTATATGAAATAAGTATTTACTAAAAACAAGGTGTTTATTCATTTTGAAGCGAGCCTTCTCCTCATAATACTGAATACGAAATATTTCTAGCTGTATTTCCTAAAATAATAATCTAGTTGCTCAAATTTTAACAATTTTCGCAAGAATGGTCTATAAATTTCAGAACTTGTGTGTAGAATAAAAATGTAGATTCATAATGAGTGCTTCATACCTTTATTAGGGTAGAATTTCCATTCATCTAATAATTCTTCGTACTCCTTAATAGGATTTTCCAGATCATTCAGGTCAACATATTTACTCTTGACTCTGAGATCAACTTTGAAATGCAATGGAAGATATTTCATTTTCTCAGGATCGTCACAGATTCCATTCTTCTTGTTTTTACTGCAATGAGATATTCTCATCAGAATTCCTGAAGAGGAAAACACAGAATCAGAAAATTTAAGTAATGTTTGATTATCTAGCTTAAATCACATTGATTCGATTGTTTTTCTCTTTAAGCTTGATATAGTAGACTCTTCACAATCTGTTATATTTATGTTGCTATCTATACATGTTTTATCATGAATAATGATCTTATTTTGATCTTGTATAATCCAAACTTCTTACTTCAGAATCGAAAATAGCTCATTTAAATTAATTATTTTACTAATGCATAAAGATGAAGATACATCTATGTATTTAAGAACCCATATAGTAAAACTTGTTCAGTATTTTAATTAAATTTAATGCTAGAAATATAAATCAGGCTAAATTCCCACTGGAGGGTTTGTTTTTTTAGTGTCGGTATTGCATTCAGATCTTAGTGTAATATTACAGATTTCATAATCCTCAAAAATGGAGTGGATGATTTGAAATTATTCCAGAATATTAATATTAAAAAAATAGCTAAGAAACTGATACCATTGAATTATTAGATATTTCCTAAAATTATAAAGAGCTATTAAATAAGATTTCTTAAAATAACAGTTTGTTAAAATCATGAAAGATTTAGTCCAAATTATGGTTGTCTTAAGAAAAACTAACAAATAATTTGCATGACTACAGGTTGGATCTTATTCCATAGTAGTCAAAAATATTTTTGAGGCTAATTCTTACTAATTTTATTTGAGAACCTTTCCATCTTCAACATAAAGATCCCACTCTAGTAATTTTTGAGCATCTTTGAGTGTAACAAATTTATTGACTTCTTTATTGTCTCCAAGTTTGATAAGATTTAGCCTAAACTCAATTCCATCAAATTCAGTAATGTTCAGACTGTCTATATTTAAATTGATTGTACCAAATAGTCTGTTTTCTAAATATCATTCAATTTATTTGAAATAAAACTTTGTAATTAATATTCTAAATCTCTCGAACAATTAATGTTTTTGCAAAACTGCAGTCATTCTTTTGGAATCTGTGCATAAACCATAAATGGCAATTAGCACTCTTAGGGTGAGATGCCAGGACTGGTATTTATCAATCTTTACAGATTTATCTCTGACAAATATCAGTTCTGACAAGCCCAATCTTAGTATGTTAACTGTCATTTATAGTTTATGCACTGAGTCTTAAAGATGACTACAGTTAGCAAGATCATTAATAGCTCAAGAGGCTCAGAATAATGGGAGAGTATTTTTCTAATAAATTTTGCCAACACTTTTCGGATCTGAAATTCTTGGTTAATAAAATGTCATATACCATTATCATTTTTAATTCTCTCTACCGTCTGATTCAGCCTAAATATAATTGTTGATTTGTCTGTAAGTTGTATGAAATGAGATGCTCAAAGAAAAGAATAAAATAGGTATAAAATGTTTAGATTTCTTGGCATGTATTCCTAATCCTAGAGATTAATAAGTATTAAAATCTTTAAGCCATAAATTTTTGCCTTTCTACAAGGATAATTATAATAAATTTGGCCTATTTTGGTTGACTCACGAAGTGAGCAAGAAAAGTTTCTCAAAAATATAAGTGCTCAATTATTTTCAGTTAGATAATAGAAAGAGATAAGAGATACTTATCAAAAACATGATCAAATGATGAAGAAATGAGACTCAGTTGAATTTGATTTAAATGATCTTTTCAAATATTGATTCGGCCTAATTTTTAAATAAACTATGTACAATTAATAATTAACGATGCCAAATGCCTTCCCTCAAACTTTGGACTTGGAAATGTTGGAAGACATTTGGTAAATAGGACTCATTGTTCAATCAGGAAGATTAGTTGAAAGAAGTCTGCTCCTCTCAGGACCAAAAATGTTAAACTCTTTCCTAACTGCACTAAGAGCTCCAAGCTTTAAACACCTTCCTTATTTCACAAATATAAAAATATCTATAACATCCAGACGTATAGTTTGAGCCATAAAATTGATTGGGCTAACTTAGAAACTTAGCGTTAAACCTGCTGTTCACCCAAATAAAATAAAAAATAGGGTGATTAAAACTCCTCATAATGCTCATCCTTGTTTAGAGGAGAAAATAATACATGGAGTTTATGACTGTGTTCGGAACATTAAAACTATCCTTATTTTCTAAACTTTAGAGCCGCATTGTGATTTAGGCAGAGAAATTCTATATAGGAATTCAAAGATCCAGCAAGGAGTCAATCTGAGAAAACTGTCGTTCAAAGTTCGAGTTCGACCCAATATTAATCTATTTTTTTAGTATGAGAGCAATACTTCTCTCTCAAAAAGAGAGGATCTCTTCAAAGCTTGAGTCTAATTTTAGATTTCACTCAAAGGGAAAAGACAAACATTGCTAAAACCAAATGCTTAATAACTATTTTGGTACAAATGTGTTAGTACCAAAATTAATCCAATGACTAATGATCTCTAATCTTTTGTCGGATAAATTTATGAGAGATATGGATAGCAATGCTAATGAAAGAGCTGTATAACTATGATTGCAAAATTTAAATAGATCTTCAATATCTGCTCTAAATCACTCAGAGAACCTAGAATTTTAACCAATACCAATAGTATGAGCTAAGATAATTTGCATCAACGGGATAAACAAGAATATTTTTAAAATTACTACTGCTACAACTTTCGGTAGAGCTTATCTAACATATTTCGCTCTAAATTCTAGCTAAGTTCATCTTTGAGTACAAATATCTAGTCTGAGAACCATTAAGTACAAATCTAAGCTTAAAAAGTCCCCTTATCCATCAAGTCTGTCCTAATAGCTCTTGCGATATTTCCAGAATGTCATTGTCAATACAACAATAAAGCTAACTGTAGATCTAAAAGAGAAGAAGACAAACCTTCATGTGAAGATAAGAGTTTTATCTCACTAGGGTCTTGAAAACTCTTGTTTTAATGTATAAAATACAATGGAGAACCCAACCAGAGCCAAAGCAAAGTCTGATACTCTTGAAATATGCCCAATAGGGCTGAGTGATATAGCATCAGTTGAGTTTCAAACTTATGTAGAACTACTCAGAGAGCTTTAATCGTCAAGTCAGACTAAAAGAAAATTATTCGCAAGCAAAGACAATAAAAATTATTTGTACGTAAATATGTGAAGAAATGCTAACCCTTGTTTTTAAATTACTAAGCCATATAAATATTCACACATAAGAAGGTTTTGGCTTTCCTCATCCTCTCAAGGGACTTTAAAGTATTGCAGAGTTTGGACAGTTACAAAACATTATAATAAGTCTAGACTTCTAGAAGAAGTGATTTATGCTCTCTCTAGATATTTAATTTGTATAGATAAGAGAAATTATACAAAAACACCGCTTAGGTTCAATTAAAACACCATAGAGTTTGACAAGATCTTAGAGAGAGGTATTTAAATTGCCAAATAGTGCAAAATCTACAAAAAATTGGTTGATCAAAATGCAGGTAAAATCTCTAAAGAGTTGGTATTCCCAATTATAAAGCATGGTTGCATTAAAATACTTC